ACAGTCATTATGCATTCGCTCACGAGAGGGCACTGCATTCCATTCCAGTAAATTATCAAAATTGCCTTGAACTGTCTGCTGCCGAGATGTCTGACTTTTGTTGAGGCACGTGATTGCTATGAAGTTATGTAACAGTTCTAGTTGGTTTCAAGTTACAATACAATAGATTTTATTAATTCTCCCAAATGGGTTTTTCAGAATTAATTTACCTCGAGTAATATGGAAATGGGATGAATTTAAGGAAGAAAATAGGGAAGAAAATAGTATATCAGTTCCATGGAATGTTTTCATTCAAACTTAAGCACTTGGTACATTTGTATTTGTTTAAAAACAACCCTAGATAAGTTTTGTTGAGTTCGAAATAGTACTCTTGTTAAAGAGTAAAATTATGCATATACGCACGAGAGGAGATTGTGATCTATTCGAGAAAACTATATGCATCAAAATTGCTTTCAACTGTCAGCCTATGTCTGACTTTTGCAGTTGAGCTACTTTTAAGTATAGAGGCACGTGAGTGCTATGAAGTTACATAAGGCTTTCTTGTTCGTTCAGTGAAAGAGATACAACTGGTCTCAAGATAGGAAAGCTAGAAGATAGCTCAGTCCCATGGAATGTTCTTGCTGTAAACTTAAAGACTTAGACATGTACATTTTTTAAAAACAATCCTAGAGAATTTTTGTTGAGTTTGGAATAGTACTCGACAGATTGAATTTATGCCGTCATACTCGCCCGAGCGGAGATTGAATCACGCATTTTATTTGAGAAAGTTATATATATATCAAAATTGCCTTTAGCTGTCTGCCCATATCTGACTTTTGCAGGTGAGCGACTTGAAAGTATTGAGACTTAAGAGGCACGCGAGGGCCATAAAATTACGTAAGGCTTCCTTGTTCGTTCAAGGAGGGAGATACAACTGGTTTCAAGATAGGAAAGAAAATAGTTCAGTTCCATGGAAGTTCTTGTTGTAAACTTAAATCACTTGGTACATTTACATTTCTTCACGGTATCCTGGAGAATTTTTGCTGAGTTCGGAATAGTACTCGAAAGATTAAAAATTAGGCATACACGCACGAGAGGAGATTTCATTTTAATCGAGAAAGCTATTTAAATCAAATTTGCTTTGAACCGGTCAGCCCATGTCAGACTTGCAGGCGAGCGACTTTTAAGTATGGAGGCACGAGTGCCATGAAGTTACATAAGGCTCTCTAGTTCGTTCAGTCAAAGAGATACAACTGGTTTCAAGATAGTAAAGGAAATAGGAGATCGGTTCCATGCAATGTTCTTGTTGTAAACTTAAAGTCTTAGTACATTTACATTTCTTTAAAACAATCCTAGAGAAGTTTTGTTGAGTTTGGAATAGTGCTTGACAGGTTGAATTTATGCCAGCATACTCGCCCGAGGGGAGATTGAATTATGCATTTTATTTGAGAAAGTTATATATATCAAACTGAATTGCCTTAAGCTGTCTGCCCATGTCTGATTTTTGCAGGTGAACGACTTGTAAGTGTAGAGACCTATAGAGGCACGTGAGGACCATAAAATTACATAAGGCTTTCTTGTTCGTTCAGTGAAGGAGATACAACTGGATTCAAGATAGGCAAGAAAATAGTTCAGTTCCATGGAATTTTTAACTTAAATCACTTACCACATTTACATTTCTTTAAAAAAAAAACCGGTATCCTGGATAATTTTTGTTGAGTTCGGAATAGTGCTCGAAAGCGGATTAAAAATTATGCATACACGTACAAGAGGAGATTTCATTTTAATCGAGAAAGCTATATAAATCAAATTTGTTTTGAACTGTCAGCCCATGTCAGACTTGCTGGCGAGCGACTTTTAACCCTTTGAATACCAAACTTTCGCC